ATATATTTCCCTATCTCTAAGAGGGTGTCACACTGAAGGAGGTAGCGTCCATGCCCAAGTACAAAAGAGTGAAAATAGCTGATGATGTTGAGTGAGAAATTGGTTAAGCAAGGCTTGCCCCGTTTTACGACTTGGGTGAATCACCACAATTGTTAAATAAGCCACCCGGTCGTTAAGTGAATCTGGCTTCCCCATTGACTTTGCTTGTCAGAAGGTCGCAAAAGGGGATCGCACCCCCCAGGGACCCTGCAACTGTCGTAAATGTGAATCAGCTGCTGTATTTTGATTACGTGGCCATGGGGATGCTACAATGGTCGTAAGTGTGAACAGTGGTCATAATTCACTTTTTTTCAGTGCAGTTGTAACTTGGAACGGCCAGTAAGCAAACTATCATAAGTCGAGGTCTACCTGTACTAGATTGGAAACTGAATTTTACCTGTGCTCCTTTATAAATCTTCAGTTAAAAAAAGCACCTATGAGAGTATCTCAACTTTTTTTATGTCCTCTCCCCACCCAAAAAAATATTAAAAGAAAGCTAACTGTGAAACAGGTGGTTAATACTTGCACTAGGGACTAGAAACTTAAAAAAAAAATCACATGCAGATAATTGGTTGAGCTATAGATATGTTAAAACAGGGGTCTCCAACCTTGGCAACTTTAAGCCTGGTGGACTTCAACTCCCAAATTCCCCAGCCAGCAAAGCAGGCTTAAAGTTGCCAAGGTTGGAGACCCCTGTGTTAAAACATTACTTAGGCAAGGCTTGCCAGTGGATATTATTACCTGCAGCTTATGGATCCCTTTTGTTATATGAATCACTGATATACCCTTATATTATTTACTCTGGAGAAATATCAGTTTGGTGAGATTCATGGGGGGTTTTGCACTCCTTCTTTAGAGGGAAAGGAACACCTGGCTGAGGTACTACAAAGTTTATTGGAACATATTGGAAAGGATGATAGTGTAGGATTGGCCAGTTGTAACACCAGGGAGATAACGAGATCTGATAAATACAGTATAAACGAAATCAGAAATTTTCTCCCTGTGTTGCATCCAAAACCTCTTACCTTAGATTGTAGGCAGGTTAAGAATTATCTCCAGTAAATTAATATTAGAATGTCACAGGTTCTCTTAATTTTTATCAATTTCAAGGGCCCTCAAAATACAGAAGGGACTTGTTTTTGGTTCTATAACACATCCTTTCTTTTCACACCTAACAATAATTTAGTCAACAATCTGAGTTATCTTAACTTCCTGTTTCTCCAAAACTTTTCTTTTTCTTTCTTTCTTTCTTTCTTTCTTTCTTTCTTTCTTTCTTTCTTTCTTTCTTTCTTTCTTTCTTTCTTTCTTTCTTTCTTTCTTTTCTTTCTTTCTTCTTTCCTTTCTTCCTTCCCTCCTTTAGAAAAATTCAAAATAGTTAAATAAAAAGGTCCAGACGCTAGGCCCAGCATAGAAACATGATGCCTGAGAGCAGTATCTTGCATTTTTTTAAAAAAACAACAACAATCTACTTGCTGAAATACTAAGTTTCCAAAAATCAAAAATTCTGAATAGAAGAACTTGGATAAAAGCTTGTACTGATTGGGCAGTAATGCTGATTACAACCTATCTATGGAGATTCTCAGTCATCCAGGTCATAGTTGTCCCAAAAGATGCTTTTTCAAAGGCAACTGGACTTTCTGTTTTTTTTTCCCCTTTGAAGACGTTTTGCTTCTGAGAGCTGAATAAGCTTCTTTGGATGGAAGCGAAACATCTTCAAAGAAAAACCAGAAAGTCCAGTTGCCTCTTGAAAAGGCACCTTTTGGGACAATCTTCAGCACATTTTTCGAACAATATCTGCCAACCACCACTAATAGAATCCTTTCCCACTAGTCCTCTATGGTTTCCCAATGGAAATGAAATGTAAAATCGAATTCCATTAAAAAAAAAAACCTGCGTTCTGCTTATAATTGCAGAGTAGAAATAACGATGCTAAATCTAATCTATACTATTTTTCAGCAATGTAAAACTTCTGGGAGAACTAGAGCTCTTTAAAGGAAACAAACAAATTGGCCAGAGAAGAATTAAAATCAAATTCAAGTACATTTAACAAATTTCTTCCCTGCTGTTTTTTCCATAAACAAAGTAAGTATTGGTCTTCTTCAGCTCAATATCTTCCAAACGAGCTGGGATTTTTTTTCCTTCCCAATTAGCCGACCTAAATGAAAATTTGGGGTGGGGGTGGTGGAATATATATGTCCCAACGTAACCAGAGGGTGGCAGGATAGGAAAGGCAGATACAAACCATGCCGTCCAATCGACTCAAAAGAATCCACCTTGTGATTTGCTAGCTCATTTGTATAAGTTTAACTCGGTCAACTCTGTTTGTGTCTGTGCACTGAGAAAGGGAGAGGGAGAAAGTGAGTGTATACGACTGTGGATCAGAAAGGGTGTTTATGTGCATGCATGTATGTGAATGAGAAAGAGGACACATGGAAGAAAGGGGAAGAGATCATTAGTACACAGAGTTAAATACCCCAATCTTGCTTCCATCACTCACTTGAAGGCTTGTTCATTTGTCCACCATTATAATGTTGCAATGCTTTGTTCAGAAAGCTTTCCAAAGATAGTATTGAGTTTTGCAGTGGGAATTCTTGGCCGCTGAGTTCAAAAGTCATATATTGTTGTAGAATTTTAAAGGATCTTATATTTAAATAAATCTGAAATGTATCACCTTTAGACTTGGGTTTTTTTTAAGCTATCTATGTGTGAATGTAGACTCCAAGTCCACAAGCAATTGGGAACTCCTTGCCCCATGAGGGAATTTTATCGGTGTCCAAGTAGGTGGCCCAGAGCAAAAAATTTGGATAGTCTTTGGAGGTTTAGTGTTAGAGGTTGTCAAAACACCAAAAAAACAAACAAAAAAACACCCCAAACCAGATTTTTTAAGAACAATTTTATATTTTATTTCAAAAGAAAACAACCTTTTAAATTATTAATTTAGATACAACCCATGCTGAATGAAATTATCTGAACTTCTGGCATGGCATGGCCTGTATCTATAAATTTTAAAAAGTTGTTTATTTTTTCTACAAGGGTAATACTAGTCCTCAAGAAATGCAGGACTGCATTGGTGAGACCCAATTACAAGGAAGTACCATTCCCACTGTAACACACTTATATCAGGGTTAACACTTATATCAGTCTCTACAGTGCATTGTACCATTCTTTGAGCAGTTTTTTTTTAAAAAAATCCCATTTAAATTTGTCTTCTTCTTCTCATCCGTGTATTTTATTTTTTTAAAGATGACTTATTTTAATATTTGTAACCAACTTGGAAAATACTTTTAAGGTTCAAAACAAAAAAAAAAATGATATGCACCATTATATACTTGCCCTCGTACGCATTTTACAGAACATGTTAAACAAAATGTCTGACAAAATGCTTCTCTGAAAAGAAAAAGAAAATTTCACTGTGCTACTTAACAAGCAAATGACAGGTTATTTGTGTTTTCAGGGTGGACAAGACCCTGAGTATGTCATGATATCTATTTTGAATGAACCTGTCTTTCTGACCATACTGATATTCCATGTTGCTGTAGCAACCAGACCTCCTGCTGCTGAGTAGATTAATACTTTTCCATTCCCAACAAAACTTTTCAAAAGTAGCTGGTGAGCACCATGACAATTGCAAAATGTTTTCAAGCAACAGGTGGAAATCAACAAGCTTTATTTTTCTGACACCGGTATAGCAGCAAAACTAATTTGAAAAACTTGGGGGGTATTAATTTTAAATAAAAAGGGGATAATATTTCAGTGTGGGTTGTTTTATGAAGCTATCCCAAGAAGGAGAAAGGCTTCTGCACAGCAAAGGTTACATGCATGGGAAGACAGCTTATGCAATAGTGACAAATATCACTATTGATATATCATCCTCAGGTGTAGGATGAGGGTAAAGGTTCATTCTCTGAGCTTGTGGGTTGCTTTCCAAATGTTTGGTTACCAAGTGTCATGCCCCTGGTGGAGACTGACTCTGAGGGAGAGGAGGAACAGCCGACAGGGAGTGGAAGTGTGGCTCCGGAGGTTGTGGAGGAGGCTGGGGAAGGGCAGAGGCCAACTGGGCAGTCAGAGGAAGACCCAGGCCCATCCCCTCTCCATCCTAGGGCACACAGGGAGGAGAGGATAAGGGAGAGACGTGGTCTCCTCGAGAGGAGAGGGCTTTGATCCTCTTCATGGGCTGTGGCTGTGACAACTGAATAAGAGTTTGGACCTGCATACTGGCAAACACTGGAAACAAAGCATGTAAATATCTCTATAGTTCCTCTCTGAATTTGGCATCCTTCCCAGTGTGTGTTATCTGTGGATATCCTCCAGCCCTTGCCTGGTTTGTGTTGCTTTTTTCCTCCTTCTTGTAACTGTTTGTGTGGGAGTTTTTTGTCTTCAGTCAAGAATATTTGGAGTTCGGAAGCAAAGTGAAGGAATAAAAGGGGCTTCACCTGTTTTTTGTGACTGTGTTTATTTTGTATCCCATCCTGGGTCATCACACCAGGCTAGGTAAAATCTTCAGTGGAATTTAGGAGATGTTAGGGTCAGTGTTCTGTTTATAAGGGCTTCAGGTGTGGGTATCCTTATAAACAGAACCCCTGAATTGCTTTGTTGTGGCCTATTCAGTGACCGGCCCCTCTAGCAGCCAAATCAGAGGAGGAGGAGGTGACGTGGGAGCCAGGGTCAGCATCAGGGCAACCTGGGAGCTCCGAGGGGGAAGAGGGAATGGAGCTGGGAGAGGGAGAGGGAGGGAGGGAGAGAGGGAGAGAGAGAGAGAGATGCGGAGCATCGGCCATCCATCAGCCCTCAGATGAAGAGTCAACAGCCCCCAGGTCTGGAGGTGGCTGATGAAGAAGAAGAGGACCAGCTGGGTCCAGTGCCTGATGCGCAGATGCACAGAAAGCAGAAAGGAGAGGAGAGCAGTGGAAATCTATGGGCTGGTCCTTGGGAAGGAAGAACCACCGCTGCTAGCGAAGCCCCACCCCAGCTCTGGAGATAAAAGGCAGGGGGCGGAGAGGAATAGGTGTGGCAGACAAGTATTCATCTTCCAGATGGACGGACTTGTTAGTCTGCAAGAGAAACTTTTTGCCGGGCTGCTGGCATTCCTAACAAAGGAATCTTCTGAATTCATGTCAGAGGGTTTGTCATGTTTGGGGAGCTGGGTCAGAACATCCTTATAACCACTGACCCGGACACACCCTAAACTCCCCTGAAGATGTTATCTACCCTGGTAACGAAATGTTTGGAAACCAACCCACAAACATGGAGAAACAAACCTTTACCCTCAAGACAGATTATATTGGGGGTCAGGGGGAGGGGGCTAGCTTGCTGTCTCCACACCAAAGGCCAATGGACATGCCGGAATCTCTCCATGCAGGGTGATGAATTCATCATTATCATATAAGCTGCTTGGCAGCATTATGCACCAGGATGCAAAGATTATTGCTACAGGATAGCATTACCCAAAAAACAAACAAAAAACCAGAAATGTGTGTGTACAAGTCGTCCTTGACTTATGACCACAATCTGGACTGGAACTTCTATCACTAAACAATGTTGGCTGCTAAGTGAGCTGAATCTGATTTCATGACCTTGTTTGGCAGGACAAATTCCATGGTTATTCAGCAAACCTAATTTACTGTATTGACTTTGTTTCTTGGAAGATCATAGCTAAATGGCTATCATGTGACCCAGAGGTATTGCAACCATCATGTGCCAGTTGCCAAATGCCTAACTTCTGATTATGCGAATTCACAGGAATGCTGTGATGGTTGTAAGGTTGAGGACTGGTTGTTAGTCACTTTTCCAGCACCGTTATAATTTGATAACAGCACTAGCAATAGCACTTAAGACTTATATACTGCTTCACAGTGCTTTTATAGCCCTCTCTAAGAGGTTTACAGAGTCAGCCTATTGCCTCCAACAATCTGGGTCCTCATTTTACCCACCTCGGAAGGACGGAAGGCTGAGTCAACCTGGAGCCTGGTGAGATTCAAACTGCCCAATTGTTGGCAGTCGGCAGAATTAGCCTGTAATACTGCATTTTAACCACTGCGCCACAACGGCTGCTAAACAAATGGTGGTAAGTCAAAGACTAATGTTGTGGTTAGCTGGCAGCAGGTCCGGACGGCTGAGGAGAGCGAGGACTCAGATGAGGGGCCAGGACCATCAGGGAGTGGACTGCAGCCTTCAGAGATTGTGGGGGATGGCAGCAGTGATGAGGAGGTTCCCGAGGAGCCTGTGCCAATGCATGTGCACGAAGGATTGCTCATAGGAGAGAGCAGTTACAGCAGCATGGGCGACTCGGGAGTAAGGCTGCAAGGTAATGGCCCCTCCCTCAAGAAGATAAAAGCCAGGTTTGAAGAAGCGTTCTTTGCAGAAGGCAAGGACGCTCTGAAACTCAGCCTTGTGGACATTATAATCTGTGGGTTTTTGGCAGCCTTGAAAAACAACTTGGCAAGGCTCTTTCTTGTCAGAGCTAATTAGTTGGAAGCAGACTTTTATCTGTGAAGAAACAGAATTCGTAGATGAAACCTTAAAAGGTGGGAGCTGCTGCCTTTGTCTTGTGTTTGCTTTCTTGAAACCAGGTTGGGTCAGAACAACTGGTCTGAGCTTTAGCTAATGAAGGTATTGCTTGCAGAAATCTATTCTAGGTGTGCATAATCTTGTATAGATTTCAGGGTATTAATTCTCCGTGATCAAAAGCATCAGAACCATCTGGCCTAAGCAAGAAACTTAAAAATATAATCTAAAGCATTTTCACAAGACAGTGGCCTTTTCTGGACTTCAGGAATAATTACCAAGCTAAGGCTACAGCAATAAGCTAAAGAGTATTAAGTTGTACTTCTATACACAATGTTGGGGAATCCAAATTTCACTGACTTTAATGGAAACTAAAGTTCCAAACAGTAAAATAACTGCAACTACAATATTATTGAAAACTTAAAACTAGTGTAATCACTGCTTAAAAGCTTTAATTTATATTTATTCATTTTCTTCACTAAATTTAATCTTAGTGGGTCTGGCCTGTTTTTCTACTATGATCTCTTAATTTTTTTAAAAAAAAATCTACTTTCAAATATAAAACTGAAATCATTTATTAAAGTGGGAAGGAAAAGCACCTAAAAGCAATTTAAACTCTGGATAAGAAGAAGCACTAAAAGCACAAAATCCCCAGATTTCCACCTACATATGTGAAGGATTCGAATGACAATAATATTGGTTTAAAAACCTATGTCAAAGTCCTGAAAGAAATAAAAATGGATTTATTGATTGACTGTGTGCCATCAAATCACTGTCATCCCTTAATGACTACATATAGTTTTGCCTTGAGATGTAAAAAAAAAATCAACGGATTATCCTTTCCAAACATTGCTTTCATATAATTCAGATTCAGCACTCTAAAATTTTCTTTCTCTAACCTTTTAGACATTATTCTTCTGCAAAACATTTATTTAATGCAATAAGAACTCTGTCTCCTGGTTTCTGCCTGGAACTGCAACTGCTATATTTCTTCTCATGTATCTGGTAACAACCACCCCCATTCCAATATCTTTTTATCCTCCACATACATTTTCTCTCTAAACTATCTTTCTTGTGCTGCGCACATAAAAGTAGTTTTAATGTACCTATTGCTTTTACTGAAGATGATTGAATATAACAAGTGCCAATTCCCTGAAAGCCTATAGTTGCCTACAATTTTATTTCAATAGGATAAATAGGTCTGTCTTGAATTAAATGTATGGAGCGTAATTTCTGTTATATTTTAATACCAAATCAATTCCCTCTAACTGAAAATAACTAGGGGTTTTATCACTCAGTTATGATCATTCTTTAGCTATGTTTGCTCAAAACATACATGGGAAGTTTGCTGTCACATTATTGTTACACGAGAATGAATTCAATTTAAATCTTTTATACCTTATAAGTGAATTTCTGTAATGGAGGTGAGCTTTGGTTCACTAAAGCTACTAACTTAAAAAAATACTCTTATATCTTCAAATTAGCAGGGTTAGAAGGTGAGGCAGGTAACAGGGAATTAGACATAATTCTAACTAAATAAGGGTGATACTTTTTAAAGTCATGCAGAAAATTGCTTCATATAAAACATTTTAATTGAAACTATGGGATAAAAAAGAATTCCTTCCTAATCTAGAAGCCACACATCTATCCATCTTCAAGATGACTCATCAATTTACATGGGTTGATTCATATACTTTTTTTAAATAAATGGAAGTCAATTAACTTTCTCAGGATTTGAGTCACTGTTGTCAGCCTATTTCCCCTCATCCATCCCCCAAACTAGCAAAAGAAGATCCTCATTGTTTTGTTTTAAGAAAGGGCACAGAGAACAAGAAGGTTAAGAGAAAATCCAGCAATGGTCATTAGACGCTGTTCTTCCCAACAGCCAAGGAGGAATTCTTGATCAACAGTAATTCCTTGGAGTGATATCTGTGTCTATCTATGGGAATGCACATGAGGTCTGTGTCTCTCTATGGGAATACACATCGGATGTATGTGGGAGGGTGTGCGATTTTGGGGGTATAACAGTTCATTTTTTTTTTCAAAAAAATCAAAATCAAAGACTCAACATCAAAGAGATCGACAAAAAGAAGGCAAAAAAAACGGAGCTCACCTCTTGCACAAACGAAACAAAAGCCTACATTTACAGCTGATGAGGAGTGATTGCTTCTTTTGGAATGGTTACTACAGATGAGGATGTGGGATGACACAAACAAGCTTCCTGCAGCAATACAGCCATCTCCTGAGTGATAGGCAATGGGGCATCTCAAACATCTCACCATACGACCTGTTTAATATAAAATGCACCAGATAACAGTCTGTTTAGAACACACTTTCCAAACTTCGATCAAATTTGGCTTTAGCTTAATTGTTTTTCTTTCTATGACCCTGTAATTCCTATGCCAAGTTTGCAACAGATATTTTCTCTTTGCACCCTGATAAGAGAAACATATGGTGCTGCCTAGGATTGAACTCTCAGCCTTCCAAGTGGGAGGCCACTGCATTGCTCTGGCTTTAGCTTAACATATTCCATAAAAGTTTCTTGTATCGAATCGAAATGTTATAATTTTCAAAAGGCAAGGATAGTTTTGCATTCTTTAATGGTGCAATTCCTCCTGGCTTCCAGAGCGAGCATACTTAAGACAGCAAGGCCATGTACATATATTGGGATTATTCCACTGAATGGCAGAAAAGGTTCAGAAGATGCTATCCCAGCATAGAAGCCAGTTTTCGATTGTTTTTAAAGAAAGAGAGAGAAAATAATCAATGAGAAAGAAAGAAAAACCCCTTAGCACCAGTCATGCTCAGATTGTATTGGCAATGTCTAATTGGTACTCAAGGAATATTAGCTCCTCCTTCCCCCAGAAGTTATTAGTGGAGCAAATTAAGTTGTCTTGCATCCCATCCCTTCAGTCTTCCAGATGGTTGGGAAAACCCCAATGAATTATGCAAAAGTGCTTTGAAAATGAAACATGGTGAATTTTATGCAGATTTAAAACCCAGGGCAGAAATACCCCAATATCTCCCAAAGAACAAGCTAATGAAGCACAAGACAAACTTCTCAAAAAAAAAAAAAAAAGAGATAAGCCAGTTTGTACTTGGCTAAAGAAGGAAGAGGCAGCCTGGGCTGTGAGATAACGAAGAGTCATTGACTCTAATATTTTTCCACAGAATTCCTTTAATAGTCATAGCAAAAGCAAATTTTCCTACTTCCTCCATGGCAAGAAAACCCACCACCACCCTTTACTAGGCTGGCTAGCTTAACATATATGACACCGATATTAGTTTGCTCCTTCACAACTTTAAGAGAATGCAACTGGACCAACAATGTGAGAGCCTAATTTCATTTCTGAGAATTCTAAGCGCCTAATTCCCCGGTTGTTTATCTCCACAGTGTTCTGGTCATGGTGAGCTTCATTCAATAATAGTTTCTAGGAAGCTTCAATAAATGTTTTTACAGCAAACCCTCCTCTGTTTATGTGCTTTAGGAAGCCACTAGCTTTTCATCAGTGAAATAGCCACATTTCTGCATATTTCAAGCCAGCAAGTTTAATTTTCTTTTTCAGATACGGTATCTGAAAGTAGTATAGTCTTGCAAGATGCATGGTCTGATGGTTATGCATGCTTTCACTCCCTTTCTATTACACAATTGTAAGGGAAGATGAAAGACCGTCTTTCTTTAAACACAGATCAGACAGCTGTAAATGTTATACCTAGTCCTTCCCTTCCCTTCCCTTCCCTTCGCATCCATCCATCCATCCACCTCTCTATCTAATCAATCTATCTATCAATCTATCTCTATCTTCTATCTCTATCATCTTTCTATATCTATCTCTATCTATCTATCTATCTATCTATCTATCTATCTATCTA